AATTTTATATAACAAAATTTGATATATTTTACATGTGCTGTTCCATAAGAATACTACACTTAAAATATATAATTTTTTTCTAAGATGTAAATAATACAAAGATTGGAAAATGTGTTACAAGAAAATACTATTTCAGTCTTTCTACTACAAAATTTTACTTTAATTCAGTTTGTTACTTGCCGTTTCTTTGTAGTTTTTTTTGTTCTTTCATCGTAAGAGCATGCTAGTATACTATTGCAAATTCAGCTGCAGATTCCTGTGTTAAAAGCAATTTCTTTTTGATTTAGCAGCACATTTAACATAAAATGTTCCTATTACCTCATATATATCACAGAAATAGGTGTAGTGATGTCTTTTTGACATATATGGCAGAAATGGTAAGAGTAGTACAGTATGCTAGTATGCTGTTCCGAATTCAGCCGGTGTCTGTCTTCCAGTGGATGTATTGCAGGAAATGTAATGAACATGAACATGAACATGAACGGCTCGCTAAAGGCAATTTCTGTGGTGACAAGCAGCAATGAGAAATGCATTGAAGGTTTTCGTCATCAGTAGTTCATTTCTCCTAGTTTGACCGGATTACGTTCATACCGATTAGTCCGCATGAACCACCGTTTCAAATGAACTCACGCCACAGTGTCCAAGAAAAGATTTTGTAATTTTCTGTTGTTTTATTCAAGACAGAAAGATTTCCCCGAGTCATTTGTGACCCCTTTGAAAACATTAATGAGGATTTCATCCTCTTTCTTCTGTGATTAAGGACATCTTGGAAAAGATTTCGCAATTTGCTGTTGCGTCAGATGAGTCTGTGTTTGACTTTGAGCAAGACACAGGTGCATTCGGTCAAGTCAAAGTGTGTTTTCACACTCTCCCCAGCTCTAGAATAAGTGGATTGAGGATTGTTATCCACAAAAGTGAGCAAAAGTGGCCACTCCAGCAAGATTACCTCTCGGAGACCCTCTGATCTGCGATTCCAGCGACAGCGGAGGACAGACCAAGCTATTGTTTCGAGCATTAATGGATTTTTGCATTGGCTCTGTCATGTTAGAAACATCTGGCTCTATTGCTGGGCAGTGAAGCATTATAGTAGCTACGGCAGGCTGTCAGAGTCGACTAGCGGCGCGCTGTGGCCTGCTGGAAGCAGTCATGGAGATGGACAGTGGCAGGTGTTCTCAAACACACCTCAGCATAATTGCAGTTTCCATTGTCATCGCACGACCAGAAATGGGAAATTCATGTGTCTAAGAACCCCCGTACCAACTTTCCTTTTCTTTTTGCTCTTTTTTAGGAGAATCACCATCTTAATTAAAATGAGTTATGCCAGATGGGTAGCAGATTGTGGTATGGAAATAAGCCAAGTAGGCAGTAAACACAGCTCTGTTAACAAGACGGAATATTCTTCAACTAACATGCACTCATGCACTCCAACCCGAAATAGGTTGTGACGGTCGTGTTTTGGGTTAAGTGTCTGGCACCATGTGGTTTGGACTTTTAGGTGCATTTTTCGACAATATGAGCTTTGTATTAAAAAAGTGGATGTATAATATATAATATGATGATCTCCACACGTCACTAATACAATATATTTTCTGTGATGACAGGCAGCATGACAAATGCATTGAAGGTTTTGGTCAACAGTAGTAGTCTCATTTCTCTCCTAGTTTGACAGAATTACGTTCATTCATACAATTGTGAACTGCACCAGAGTGCACGTGAGCCTCCATTTCAAGCGAACTCTGATGTTAAATAAACTCATACCATACATGAGTGTCCTTGAAAAGTAATTTTTAGTCATTTGTAATTTTTTTTGTAATTTAATAATTAGCATTTTCCAATTTAATAATTAGCACAATTAATTATTAAATTCATAATTAATCATTTAATAATTAGTCATTCATTTCTTTTGTTTTTATTCAAGACAGAAAGAGTTCCTTAGTCATTTGTGACCCTGGTGAAGAAATGTATAAGGCTTTCATCCTATTAATGAATATATTTAATAATAATAATTATTATTATTATTATTTTATAGTTGGCATTAATTTATTACTATTATTATTTGCCCTGCAGATCCTATTTTCTGTCATATGGTATTTTTTTTATTAATTTATTTGAATGTTTAAACAATTTTTTTATTCTTTTTCACATTGCATTAGTGTAGCACCATGCAAAAGCAAAAATGATCAGTTGCCAATGCCATTGTAGAATCATGAATCGTGATCAGCCATGATTAATTTATTCCGTGAGCAAAATGATTGCTTAAAAGGGGCATAACACACACAGTTTCACCCAATCTCATGTTAATCTTGAGTACCTATAGAGTAATACTGCATCCTTCATATCTCCAAAAAGTCTTTAGTTTTATCATATTTATAAAAGAAAGATACAGCTTTACAATTCTCTCCGGAAAAAGCCGAGCTCCTGGAGGCGTGCCGTGGGCGGAGCTAAAGAGTGTCCAGCACTTGGGCGCCGAATGCCAACAAAACAGACATTTGATGCTGTTCCACTTACAGTCTGCAGTTCTGAATCATGACCGGGATCTTTTATAGCTGGGACCGCTCCATCTTTCAGTATCAAATCCAGCGTAGAACTGGGCCTTGTTTATAAAACGTTTGTCAACAAACACACTTGTGAAACTCCGTTGCTGTCCCGGAAAAACAAACTGTATCCACTGTCTACATAACGCTGGGTTCTTTAGGAAGCTGAAAAATGTTATCTTTCCCTTACAACCAAAACACACTTCTTTGGATTGGAGACATTCTTCCCGAGCAAGTCCCGTGTAGCGCTGCCGCCTGATGAAGCGCGTTGATGGGCGCGATCTCGCTCTTGCTCTGGTCGATATGTGCGTGGGCGCGCTCTTCTGGAAGAGCCACGATCGAAAAAAACTCGAACCCGGAAGTAAGATTTTTGGCACAGAAGTACTGTCCAAATTGTTTTTGGACAAGCATGGACAAATTGAAACTTTGTCCATGCTTAGCATGAGAATCCAACTCTTTAACAGTGTAAACAACTCTGAATGCATGAAATAGCCTTGTACCCCCCCTTTAATTCAAACTCGTAGTACTCCGCTGGTCATGTGATGTTTTTAACTTCGGCTTCCCATAGCTCATCACTAAATAAAACAGACATGCAGATACATAGGCCTTCAACCTTCATAAAAGCTAAATAAAATAAATACATTCAAGTTTCCACCCCCTTGTCCAGAGTTTAACAATGCCTGCTTTGATTTTTTTCCGAGACAGGACTTTCCCAAGAATGAGACTATAATTTAATTAGTCACTTTTAATTTTTCGAGTTCTTTCAGATTTGGAAAAACACCCCAAGATGTGTGATTCACATCACAGGCATGAACCGCATGCATGCTTGCTGGGAAAGCAGACAATGACCTTTCAACCGCAGTTAAGTGGACAAGACAGTTCAGGTGTCTGGAGTTGTTAGTGGTAATCCAGGTCACGCTGTCCATTACTTGAGGCGTGCCGTTCCATATCTGATTAAAAACCTCTCCATTAGATATTTATTCACTGCATTAGCTGTGGCTGTTCTAGTGGTATGCATGCACTTTCAAATCACCTGGGGGCGCTGCATTCTAATTGGCCAGCTGAACATTTCCCCCGACCAATCAGAGAGCTTGCTCGCGTTCTCTGCCTTGGAACATCCTAACAGCACGTCTTAACTGGCAGACCATTTTGAGATTGTTTAATATGTAATTGCCTGCGGTGCTGTAAATTGCTTCCTCATGGTTCCTTCGAAACCGCAATAGTTCAGGATATTTAATTTTCTACCAAGAGTTGTTTTATTAAAGCTGCCGTCTTTTGATAAGAGCAGAATGTTGCTGTTGTTGTTCTAAACGCTTTCATTTGATAAAATTCATTTGCACTACATAAAAAAAGTGTGATCAAACATATTTTTGTACTCCCCTCGGACTCAGACTACAGCTGCTAAGAGTCTCCGGGTCACTGGGACATTTTTTTCCTGAGTTTTTATGTACAGTGAAAAGCTTTCAGGAATCTGTCTCATTAGTTTAGGATAAGGATGGATAACTCTCAGTGCAAATGGCCTTCTGTTTCCCGCTTTGGAGTGCCGAGGTTGATCGTTTCATATTCTTACTGTGTGATCTGGTTGTTTCGGTGTCTGTTTGAAGCTTGTAGTAAATCATGCTGAGTGGATGATCTTATTTAATGTCAATAAAACATTATTCATTAATCACTCTCCATTCATCTGATAATTAGGCCAGGCTTTAGCTCCTTTGCCAAATGGCAATATCATCACATAGACACCGGCCAATAATGTTGTGACTGCAATTACTGTACATTTATCTGTTGTGCTTAAAGATGTAGAAATTAATCTAGATTTTAACGAAATGTTGCACACATTAAGTTATTTTTATAGAAAAAGAAATGGCCATGGCTATGACTGGCATGACTATTTTTCTAGAAAAAATATTTGGCAAAAAAAGGTTTATCAAGAAATCAAGCAACCAGTTCGTAGAATTAGGTTACTTATTCAAATAATAATAATTCTTATAAATTATGATAATTAAAAAAGTTGCAATTACTGATGTTTGGAAATATGTCTTGCATAACTTCTAAAAAGAGACCTAAAGTGCCCCCTACTGGATTCAATTATAACTAACTTACTTGTTCATATATTACAAAACACACAGTAGGTGATAGATAGATAGATAGATAGATAGATAGATAGATAGATATAGATTAATTTTATAATTTACAGTACATTCAAACATATTAAAATTAGAAAATATTTAAATATATACACAGTTACATTAAATAATATAAATTTAGTGTGTGTGTGTGTGTGTGTGTGTGTGTGTGTGTGTGTGTGTGTGTGTGTATGTGGTATTTATCACGTTATGGGGACCAAATGTCCCCACAAGGATAGTAATACTAGTAATTTTTGACCTTGTGGGGAAATTTTTTTTTTTGGTCCCCATGAGGAAAAAAAATCATAAAATTGAAATAGATTAATTTTATAATTTACAGTACATTCAAACATTTTTTGTATATATGATCAGAAGATTTATCCAAAGCAACTTTTATTTTATTTTTATTTATCTTTTGGAATGGAACTAATGACTTTGGTGTTGATAAAGTTTGAACTACAGGAATGTAGTGAAAATATTAGTGAATAACCCAAACTTCAATCCATTTCTCACAGAAGGCTATCATATGAAACAAAGCGACTTGGTTCTGACTTCTTTTTTCTATAAATATCCCCATTTTACAAGTCTTACAAGTTGTTTTCTTTCACCCAAAACCACAATCATCCTCACTGATATTCAGATCATGAGCTCATGTATCTTGCCCATTCATGTCTTTTTTTAAACAGAATTGATCGAATTATCAGTTTAGGCCAGATTTCATTAAGTTGATGGCTGGTCCGTGCATGTAGAGCTCTTTCCATGAATTAGAGGGGGCAGCGTATCTGTCTCATCAGCCTATCATTACAGTCAGTGCTGGAGAATCTCTGTTGTTGTTCTTAATTTATGGGCTGTGTGCTTTTGTGAGATTGCTTATGAAGGGGAAGACAATGGATGGCGAGCATTCAAAATCTAAATCTTTTCTTTTGGCTGTGTCCTTTTCTTCGTATATCATCCCTGTGACAGATTCACAACACAACATGCAGATCGGTTTATTTATTCCACAGTGTAATGAGAGCACAGATACAAGGCAACAATTACTATTTACTTCATTTATCTATTGTAATATCCTATTCTATGCCATATTTGTTCTTCAAATGCCACTGATATGCTTCAAGTGACAGTACTTACAGCTGACAGACAGTACTACATGACTAAATATTGCGTTCTGTCAAATAGCAGCATGCTGTTATGCGTCAAATACAAGTAGACGGGGAGTAGAACACTTATGAAAACACGAGTTGTGAAGGAGCTGCTCTCCACTGAGGGTATTTTTACAGTGGCAGTCCACTGAAGTGTAGCAGCAGTAGCTCTGGTAGAAGGCTCACTGACAGCGGTGCATTTAAAGCACAGGTGTGTTTCAGAGTCTGTGTCAATCTGCCCAACACAGTGACCACTGCGCTCAGACCCCAAAATGAAAATTGTGTCTTGCTTATGTTGTTCCAAACCTGTGATTTTTCTATTTGAGAAAAGTTTAGCGAAATGCTCTTTTCTCAAGCATACAATTAGGGTTGCAAAGGGGTGGAAAATTCTGTAAAATCCGAAAATTTTCCAAAAATCCCTGGAATATTCAAAAAAATCCTGGAAAGTCTCCAAAATTTCTGGAATATTTCCTAAATTTACTGGAAATTTTCCACCTTTTTGCAACCCTACATACAATGATAGGGACTGTCAATGAGTGTTATTTTACTATCATTGATATACTATACTGTGTGTGTGTGTGTGTGTGTGTGTGTGTGTGTGTGATTCAGAGCCTAACCCAACAGCGTATGAAATCGTCCAGATGCAGTCAGTGTCACCTGCAGTGACACTCCAGCTGCTTACAAATTCTATAACATCCTCGCAACTCACCCTGACTCCGATGCTGGATGGTGTTTGTTCCAGTGGAGCAGCGTGCGCTGCCCTTGAGTGTCGGTCGGTCGGAGGGAGCTCTCGTTGGTGTGGTTCTCGAGGGGAGGCATGGCTGGGTGGACGGGCCAGTCCAGCCATTGCTGTTGGAGACGCAGAGCCGGGTAGCTGGGAAATCCACAGGTGCTCTGGGAGAGCCGGATGGACTCGAGCAGCGGTTAAAAACTCCAGGCTCAGAGGGGAGCGCAGAGCTATGTTGTCTAGCAGGAGTGGCAACAGCGGCAGTAGTGTTTAATCAGTCCAGGATCACTGACATGGACACTGGGGTGAGTTTTGTGCCTCATATTAATCCATATAGTATACCAGCCATGGACTGTTATTCTCATGACGGCCCGTCTGTGATAGCGGATGCATGTCAACAAAGACAGAGTCCCGCGAGGGCAAAAAGACTAGCAATAAATCGCGCAACGTTGAAACAGAGGAAGTCAAGGATCTTTCAAACTGTCAATCATGCTAGAATCATCTGGAACTCTGAAACTAAACCTAAAGGAATATTGGGAGGACATATAAATATAAGAAGCATATTACCAAAAATAGGCCAGATACAGAATTTACTTATTGAATCTAATTTGGATTTTTTGTGCATATCTGAGACTTGGTTGAATCATGATGTCCCTACTGACCTAATTAATATACCAGAATATAGTTGTTATAGGAGAGATAGGGCCAAAGGAAGGGGAGGGGGTGTTTTAATTTATATTAGGGAACACTTTAAATGTTTAGAACTTGACCTGAATGTGAATATGGAATGCTTGGGATTGAAGGTAATTCTTTCTTCAAACATGAAATTTAATTTAGTTGTGCTTTATAATCCTCCATGTCATGATGTAAATTTCTACAATGAACTGAAGAATCTTCTTTTTCTTGTTGACAACTGTTGTGAATGTATGATGTTTGGGGACTTTAACATAAACTGGATGGTTAAAAGTGGTAAATCAAAATTAAAATCAACTATGGAGAAATTTAAATGCAAACAGCTGATTGATAGAGCCACTAGAATAACTAGAAAGAGTGAAACTCTTATAGATCTGATTTTTACTAACAGGCCAGAGAGAGTAACAAAAACATATAATCTCATTACTGGCCTTTCAGATCATAACATGACACTGATTGTAAGAAAGTTAACTAAAAAACGGCTACTTCACCATAATAAAATAGAAAATTCAATTTTAACAACAGGAATTCCCAAGTCAAAAATAGCCAGCTTTGAACATGATTTGAAGAAAGTTAATTGGGAAGAGGTAATTAAAGAATCAGACTTAAACCACAGTGCAAGCAATTTTGCCTTTATTTTAAGTGAATTAATAAACATTTAAGTAAACATACGAAAACCTGGAAAAGTAGGCCTAAGAAATTCTCTCTTCCATGGTTTAATAGTGACATCCTTCAGATTGTTAAAAGGCGAGATCTTGCTCTTAAAAGGTCCTTAATAACAAAAACTAATACTGACCACCTTATTTTTACTGGTTTGAGGAACAAAGTAGTATCAGAGCTGCTAAGGCTAAGACTAATTATTTTTCCAAATTAATTGAAGAGGCCAGTGGCAGCAGTTCTAAATTGTGGCAACATATAAATAGATTAACCAATATATATATATATATATATATATAAGTGTTTTCTTATGGTTTCATTTTTCCTTTTAGTTAACAATACTAACCCTGCTGCCAGTCTTCCAAAAAAGGCTTTAAACAGTGTAGCAAAGAATTGGTTTAAACATATTAAATGATTGGAAAAGTCCGGCACATGTCACTAGGAAAAAATTTTGTATTTTCACCAGAAGATCGAGACATTTTGATTTAAAAATCCGAGGTCAAAAAAGTAAAAAATAAAACATATGCATGGATGAATCGTTCACCATATGTTCTGTAAGATGCATTTAGAAAATGGATTAATATCCATTTCTTGCCAACTTTAACTCCACTGCAGTTCTCAGACATTAATTCTCTTTTGCATATAGTTCAATATGTGCATGAAGATGCATCTCGCCAAGTTTACTGTCAGTGATGCTGAACGCTACTGGTTCTTACATGTCTCATAACCAATTGACACATGCCAAATTTGAATATACAAATGCGGTTGAATTAATTGTTTTTATGATGTTTTTGTTTCCTTTTTGGATCTTCACAGAACTTGTTCACTGCTTCTTTCATTGTTCACGCAATGAGGGTCAAGAAAAAAGTCATAAGGGTTTGGAGTAACATGAGCTTGAGTAAATGACACAGTTTTCATGTTTGGTGAACTATTCCTTTAACAGAGCTTCGGTTTACTGCCAGTAGATTGTCAGATGGTCCCTGCAGAAAAAGTGAAATAATTTGTTTTCATTGACTAAACCAAAGTCTGTTTTAGAATGAAATTCAAATTAATTTGAACAGAAATTATGAGAAATCTACTTGGATTAAACATTGCAATCAAGTAATTTCATGTCATCATTGTCAAAATTTGAGCAGTTTCATTCATCTAAATGGAATGCAAACCATTTTAAGCTATTAAAATGTTAAAGTGAAAAAATTGTTAAAGCTTTGAGGTCAAAAGTTTACTTTTTTTTTTTGTGATAGTTGTTCATGAGTCCCTTGTTTGTCCTGAACAGTTAAACTGCCTGCTGTTCTTCAGAAAAATCTTTCAGGTCCCACAAATTCTTTGGTTTTGCAGCATTTTTGTGTATTTGAGGACAACTGAGGGACTCATGTAACTATTAAAGAAGGTTCAAATGCTCACTGATGCTCCAGAAGGAAAAACCATGCATTAAGAGCCGGGGGTGAAAACTTTTGAACAGAATAGAGATGTGTAAATTTTTCTTATTTTGCCTAAATATATATATATTTTTTTCATTTAGTACTGCCCTTCAAAGGCTACAGAAGATAGTTACATGTTTAAGTTAAATTTACCCTGATCTTGAAATTCAAAAAGTTTTGAACCGGGGTCATTTTTATAAATTCAGTTATTTTTCTGGACTATATGTAAACATCTTTTATGTGAAATGTCTTATTCAGGTCAGTACTAAATAAACAACTTTTGTATGATCCCTCTTATTTTGGTAAAATAATCAACATTTTACAGATTCTGAAAGGGGGAGGTAAACTTTTGACCTCAACTGTACTTTTGGTCTAACGATTATGCAACAGCTTGTTGGCCAAACTGGAGAAAAAAATATATATGTAATGTTCATATTTAGTCTAAAATATGGTTGCTCCATATTATTTTCTTAATAAAAGCTAAATCATTTTAGTGCTGTTGTCCTTAAAGGGGTCATATGGTGCTGCTAAAAAGAACATTATTTTGTGTGAGTGAGCGGAGGCCGGCGGGCTAGTGTGAGGAACGGCCGGCGGGCTAGAGTGAGCAGCGGCCGGCAAGCTTGCGGCAACCACATGTGGCGACCACGGGCTGGACTCCGCTTCGTCCACGGTGAAAGCCGATCCGGCGATCCACAGCGCGAAGTTGATGTATTTCCTC